TCGTTCAGCATCTTCTTCATGTCCCGACAGTGCTGTTGTATTTCCAGATGTAGCATTGAGATGTAGTGCAGGTAATGTTGGAGGATCTCCTCAGATTCTCCTCTGAGCACACCTGAGGGCATCAGGACGCTCATTAAAGAGCTCATGTGTTGCAATTACAGGTCTTTCTCACTAATGTTTTTCTACAGTTTCAGTTTTAGTCCATGTTCTATTCAGTCTTTAAAGTAAACACCTTAGGAAATTTTCTACAATTTTCTTCTACAGCTCCATATAGCCTCATTAACTCTGGACCTGCTGGAGAGCGCCCCCTGTAGAGCAGTAAGTGGGATATCTTCATTATATTACAAGTTTTCGCGGTGTAATCTGAGAGCAGATGTGGGCAAAGCCAGGGAAGCAGGTGTGTTCAGGCATTCACGGTAGGTTTCTGACAGATGAACTGCATCTTGATGGAGCAGTGCACGTCGTTCAGGAGTCCATCATCATAAAGGTGAGCGCAGTCTTCATCTCCGTGACCGGTCAGGTTGTCCGGCTGCCCGGGTTTCCACCGCCTGGAAAAACACACATACATTACTTATTATGGTTGTGAGAGAATTCTATGCAGAAGTGAACATAATTGTCCTATTCTCATCTCCAGGGTTACAGCAGCTTCTGTCAAAGCTGGCATGGCTCATTTCTGCACTAAAAGCTGTGCTAACACTGAGCAAAGCTACACAGAAAATGCTGCTTCTGCTAACATGCTAATTTTGTTTCTACAGTGTCTGACAGGAGGGATTTGCAGCTGGAAACCTGATATAAAATTCCCACCAACTCTGGATCACTTTCTTTTTCAGTCGAGTCACTCTTTAAGGGCAATCTGTGGACATGTGTGCATGTTTTTGTAATTTCTGAAAAACCTTTTTGAAAAAAAAATGCAAATAAAGGCATGATGTGTCTTTGAGTATGGCCCAAACATTTGGGGAATTAAATTCAATAAAAAGCAGGATGAAACATGGAAAAAGGAAAGAAAGTAAATAAGGAAGGAAGACTTGCAGACTCACAGACTTGCAGTCACAAAGCACAGTACAGAAAAATAGTAAATAGAAAAAATAAGTTAAAATAAACAAAAATGGAAAATAATTTTTAAAAAGTTTGGAATGGCTGGTTTGGCTAGTATGATGCCAGTATGGCTTTATGATTTTCATCCTCTTTCATCTGGAATTGTTTGATTTTGAATCTTTCCATATCATTATGGATCCATATCACACTGAACACACAGCACAAACACAGGTTAAACATGATGTTTGGAGTCATCACCAGCAGTATAATCCACAGGGGGGCAGACAAACCTGAGTTAAGCTGGTCCGTGTTGTTGTCAACAGCATACTGGAGCTGCTGAACTTGTTTAGCTGTTTCTAGAAACAAGAAGACTTAGCATGTTTAGCAACTTGGCAACTGGAACACTTAAAATGATGACGTTTGGTTTAGACTTTCACATTGTTAGTGTAAGTCTGCATAAATCCCTTATGAGATAAATATTTTAGTGTCAGGGACCTGGGTCTGATGACCCAGGGGTCCTCTGCAGTTTTGGACTTATATTACTTGTTATAAGTATATTTGATGTATGGTATGGCTGTCACTGGTTTCCCTGATTGCAGGTATGTGTGTGTGGGTGTGTATATGGGTGTGGGTGCATCTGATAGGCTGGTTTACGGGCACCATTAGGCCTGGTGGGTGTGCTCTGCCAGGTGGCTGGCCACACCTGAGGAAGATGTTCACACAAACCTGCAGATGATCAAGCCTCGTTGAGGGAGCTACTCAGCAGTGTGGTGAAGCTCTCTCCGATGCTGGATCGTTTTGTGAGACTTCCTGTTAGTTTCCCAGCTGGAAGTCAGTGAGTGTGAGTTTGTCGCAGTGTAGTGTATTTACGGCTCCTTCTGTTATTTTCTCAGGAGAATTGCGGGACGAGAGGGCAGCAAGCACGGGTTACACGAACACTAAGGAGCACATGCACAGAGCACTGACACTGGATGAAGACGGGGGTCTGGGACACACGGAGATTTATTGGTGAATTACTTCACCACCTTGTAAATAAACACTCTGTCTAAACTGAAGAGTTTAATGTTTGGGTCCTACTTCAGAAATAGAGAGGAATTACTTTAAACCTTTAAATCAGGTGGTTTTAAGGAAAACAAGGGAAACAATAAAATCCCTCCAAATATATTAATTTGACACAAAGGTACCGAATCTACTCCACTATGAATAAGCAGTGCTTTAATATAAATGTGTCATTTTTAATTTAAATATATAATGTTTCAATATCTAGTGTTATCTAGTGTTACATTGTCCACCTCTACTAGATAGCTGTAACTGTCATGATAGGCTGTGTGGCAGGCCGGAGAGGTGGACCCAAGAGCAGGACTCAGAACCGACAGGTTAAACTTAAAGCACAGCTTTGTTGCTCGGAAAAAACTCCACAAAAATAAAAAACAAAACAAAACTGTGAACATAGGAACTGAAACACTGGAACTGAGCAACTAAACAGAAGTAGAAGTCAAACACACAGCATACTGAGGGTAGCAAACATTAATGACACGACAGAGGGCAAAGGCAAACACAGGGCTTAAATACACAGTGGAGTAATCAGGGAATAGGAAACAGGAGGGAGACACAGCTGGGAGAAATTAGGGCTAACGCGACAGGGGGAAGTAAAATGGACACTGACATAAGACATGGACGTTCAAAGTATAACAGGAAACAAGAAACAAATCACATCGAGACACAGACTTGACACAAAACTTAAAAACTAAACTCATAACCAGGACCAAACTGAAACCTAGAATAATAATAATCAAAACAGCACAACTAAAGAATCAGAACATAAATCATAACTCAGAAGAAGAAGAATACCAAAACACAAGAAACTGAAAATGCTGGGTCAAGATGACCCAGAACTGGGACAATAACTAGTTTTGCTGTGGATCTAAACACCTTTAAGTTTGACGTATAAAATCTATGTAAGCTAACCACATTCACATTTTAAGTGTAGCAGAGTAATGTGCTGAAACTGTGTCCTGTTTTTGTTTTGTTTTTTGAGTGTTCTCCAAAAAGACGTTAACTAACAGGTGTGCTACCTTGAGTGTGATGCAGTGAGGCGTTCAGTGATTGGACGATCTTACTGAGGTTGGAAACTCTCTGCTCCAAAGTCCCCAGACGATTTGACATCTTCCTGTCTGAAAAAAAAGAGATGGACAAGGTCTACTGTACACATCCCCAAAAAAGAGGAAATTCTTGTAGTATAGCAAACTAAACACTCTATAATACAATAAAATAATAGTGTAATAAAGAAATTTGCTCAACAAAGTAAGACAAAATAAAAAATGTTCAGTAAAGCAAAATCATTAAAAGAACAAAATGAAACAAAACTAGAGATGATAAAATAAAACGCTCATTTTAAAAACTGGCTCTATTACATAATGTAGATTCAATATAACAAAAACTGTAAATCAAATGACTTTTATCTTTCTATGGGTGAAAATTGTATTTATTTAATAATAATTTAATTTGAAGATGATGTCATGTAAATATCTATTGTGTGATTAGAGTTTAGCTATCATTTGTTTTATCTTTATGTCATGTTGAAGGATCAAAAATTATTTTCAATTATAAGAAAATTCTGTAAACCATCTTTGCAGTCACAGTGATTTAGCTACTAACGTACTCTGCTCCTGCTGATTGTAGTGACACACCTGCTGCTGTCAGACCTGCAGGTATCAGGCTGTGATTTTCTCCTTTATAGTGGACAGAAATTATTGTTTTGGAGTGGCACAAATAATTTGTGTGGCATCTTATTGAAGAACAGCTGATTGTTGTGTAAATAGATTGAAATTGTTATTTAAAAAAATCAAGGTAAAAGGTAAATGGATGCCAATAACTTTGTTGTTTGCAAACTTGTGCATAGGATTTTAAAATTGACAATTTATATTTGCATTTAAAGTTATGAAATATGATTCAATAAACATGTTTGTGGTTGTTACAGTAAACATAACATAATAAGTAAATATAACTTTTTCTACTCGGATTTTATGTTTTTTGTCTGATTTTAGATCAATTGTGTTAATGCAGTATGTCAAAATGAAAACATAACTGTAAATTCAGACACGTGAGGTTGTGCTGAAAAGGATGAAACCAAACAAGGCAAAATAAATAGTTTTTAAAGTAGTTACAAATGGCCAATTGTACCCTGGACCCCAGAGGGTTAAACGTTTTGTTAAAGTAACGCAATAGTTACTTTTCAAGTAATTAATTACTTTTAGAATCTTGTAACTCACTTACTAGTTACTTCTTCAAAAAAGTAACTATAAATAATTACTTTTTCATAGTAACTTGCCCAACACTGGTAGTGTGTGTGTGCGTGTGTGTGGGGGGGAGAATACAAAAGAAATCTGGATACAAAAAGGTACAAAAATGCTCAGAAGAATCATTAAAACAGAAAACCACACCAACCAGAAACATGCCAGCATCCACTGTGAGTCACAGTCAGTCAATAAAACAGGAAGTGAAATGTTGTTGCAAGATGAGAAAAACAGACATGAATAAAGATAACACAGGGGAATTAAGAACAGGATCAAACAAAATACGAAAAGAACAATATAACCAAAACTACAGACATGAAGCGAAAAACAAGACAAACCTAGAATCACCAGAAAATATTCAAAATAAAACAAAACTATGAAGTCAAGACACTGGGTCAGTGACCGAGGACCATGACAGAACGAGGACATGCAGAGTGGTGTGATAGAGGAGGATCCTGGGAATAGGCTGAGATGTAGCAAGTTCTAAAGACAGAAGCCAGAAGAAGATGAAGATGCTTGTGCTGCAATGATTTTAAAAGTTTAGCTCTCTAGGGGCATCTGGGTGACAAAATACTTGACTGTTTTGTGGTTGTGTCTGTTTATGAAAGTATAAACTGGGGGTCCTCACAAATGACCTGACAACAGTGGTCCCCACATTTAACCTAAACTAGA